AAACAGATGCATGAATAAACAGGCAAGTGATTAAACAGGTGCGTGATTGAACAGGCATGTGATCAAACAGGACACATCACACTAAGGGCAAACATTCGATCCGATATCACTTGGTGTCCAACAAGGCTCAGTACTTGCACTCCTAAATTAAAGTCCAAAATTGTTTTTTCTAAACTGTCTATAAAATCCTCAAGGTTCTGTAAATCCATGTCGCTCTAATAAACCCCTCCTGCTACTGGACCTGCATATTTCATACAGCTTTGATCAGTAGAAGGATCCAAAACTCTCTGAACTGAAACCTCCTCAGAAAACCTCCAGTCTGTTCATAAAATCTAGAAACTGTGTTATAGTTGGTAACGTTATGGAGTTTACATTTAGGATCAATTCATACAAGTTAAAAAATTTTAATTTAGGATTTGAATGAAATGATAATCTGATTTTTGTGTGAAGCTGACTGAATATAGATTCCTTAGATATTATTTATTTATTTTTATGTATGTATCGTTCAGTGCCATGAGATAACTTCCGTTGTGACTTGCCTAATCTATAATATTTGATCTCTCAACAGTTTTTTGGGCAGGGTACCCTCTACAGTGAGCTGGGTCTGGTCCTCTCCATACTGGTTCCAGACAGCTGTAGGTCCCAGTGTCCTGTGGGAAGACCTCCTGGATCAGCAGAGTGCAGCAGCTGTCCTTCCTGAGGAGATGGAAATCCTCAGACTCCGTCACTTCCTGTCCATCATTGAACCATGTCACATGAGGAGGAGGGTTACCTGAGGAATAAAACAAAATATATTAAGGTCATCAATATGTCCAAATCCAAGGGTCATCAGTACAAAAGTCATGAAAACACCTGAATCAAAGGGTCATCAATGTTCAACACATGAACCAGAGTTTAGAATCAGTGTTCAGAGTTCCAAAACGTTCATACTGCATGTTTCATGAAAACTTGTGATGAAGACCATCAACGGATGGGATCATTCAAACCTGCTGTCCCCAGCATCTTTTGCATCAACGTCTGGTTTCAAGCAGAACATTCTCATGAACTAGAAAAAGAAAGAAGTTCTTCAGCAAAGTTTAGAGTTGCCTGACTGAGACACTGAGTCACGAGCAGGAAAGAGATCATTTTAAAAAGCACTCTGCAGACTAGTGTAAAGAAAGGTATTTATATAGATTATGGATGTTATTGTTTCTGTGGCCCGGCTCAGGCCCGGTGGTTGTGGACCCCTGATTTAACCCACCAGAATGATGAGTGAAAGCAGGGCTTATATGGAGAAAACCCCTGTGGAAAATCATTATGCAACACACACACATGTATGCGCACGTGCACGCACACATACACATGCACACACATGCAGAGAGGGGGGTAATAATCTGTGGAATATTGAATCTGTCTGTAGAGAAACAAAAATTAGTCACAAACAGACCCAAAGCTCTTGGATTGCCTTCATTTGATCAAACTGCTCTGTAACCAGAAAAAAAAACTAACCTTAAACTAACTTAAATTGACCTTCAGCTAACCTTCAACAAACTTAAACTAACCTTAAAGCACGTCTAACTCTCCTCAGAACAAGGTCCTCAAATTACTTTGAGAAGATTTTGGTCCAAAGAACAAACACAAACAGAGGAAATGAAGAGGCAGGATTTAGAAAATCTGAACGTCTCCCTGGAGATCAGAGAGGAAATACCACACACACACGCACACACACACACACACACACACGCACGCACACACACACACACACACACACACACAGGTCGTACCGCTCAGCTCCACCATCATGGAGACTCGGCTGCCATCCATCACCTCCATCTGTCTCAGTCTGCTGACGAAGCAAGGGGCCCGACCTGCTGTGACCTCTGACCTTTGAGCCCATGGTTGGCCTGAGGAACAGAAACCAACGAAGAAGAAACTCGGTGTCAGAGGAGGACCAACAGGACCAAGTCACAGTCAGATTAACTCTTAATTTACTTCAGATTGTTAGACTAAAACAGATTATTCATCCTAAAGACATTTTATCACCAGACCTCCTCTTGTTTTGTATAAATTTATTTCTTGTGATTTTCAGTCTTTTTGTATTTTATTTTTGGTTTTATTTTGTATCAACCCATCTCAGGCCAAGTGT